CTGTACCTTTTTCATACATATGGGATATGGCCTAAATCTATAGGCATCTGATGTAACTTCTAAAATCAAGAAGCATATGTTCCAAAAGCATCTGGGAAAGAAACTCCAGTTGCCAATTATATTCTTATTCTTGTTATCCATGTTAGTGTAACCAAATATTATGAAAACAAAATTAATTATAATCTAAAGTATTTATGTCATAGACTTATCTTACAAATCACGCAATTGTGTAAAGACTACAAAAAGCATTTTCTTTTTTTACTTTTATCTAAAAAATGATGTTGTGTAAGAAAAAAATTAGTTTTGTACCAATTTACGGTTCCATTTTTTGTAAGTGGAAGACATAGAAAATTCTCAAAACCATTTTAAGGTGAATGAGAAATTAATTCTAAGTTGTATATGTGGGAAATGTAAAGTTGAAACAATGAGTTTAAGTAACTCAAATTATTGGATTCGTAGAACATTATGTTTTGATAAATGTTTGGACAAATTAAACGAGTTATAATCATGCATTATGTATGCTAGAATTGTAGAATGACTTGTTGGGGACAAGTAGGAAAAAACGGAACTCGATTCCGAGTCCGTATGAGCTCATACGAGCCCGCGGCGCACGGGCGCGCAACTGGCTGCGGAAATCAAAGGGTCGCAACTCTTGGTGACCATAAGGTATCTTTTGGCCACTAGATGCATCCGTTCTCGTTCGGGCACGTCCCAAAAGGTGTCTTTTGACACTTAAACCTCTTGGAGGTGCTTCCCTACATCTATAAATACCCACATACTTGAAATTATTAACATTATGAAAATTAGAGAGCTCTTGCATTAGTTTTCAAAGATCATATAGCATATTGCGTTCTTTGATTTTTTCATTGAGTCTTGAAGAGTTCCAAACAATAGTAGTGTTTGCCGAAGGCTTGTATATTTGAAGTACCACTATATACAAGTCGAAAGTCGTTGTATCTTGGAGGCGTTTGCCGTTAATCGTGGGTATTTGACGGGGCAATATAGTCTTAAGGAGAACGTAATTATTACGTGCCTCGACTTTGATTTTTGTTTCGTTTTCTTCATTCTCCTTAAGCCGTCCTTTGATATTCACAAACCACACAAATATACTACATGTTGTTCTGTGCATAGCCAACAGCATGCCTAGACTGCTGGACAGTAATTAAAACAATGAGTAGACTAAGTACAAGAGAATGGGTAGAGTTGTAAATAAATAAAAAAATTTGTAAATAAAAGTTCGTTTTCGAACTCGTTCGTGTTTGATAAAAGATCTATTGTTATTAATTGAGCCGAGCTCGAACAAAAAACTATACTCATTCGTTAATGGGACGAAGACGAATCTGTTTGCAAATTTTTGGAATGTTTGAGGAGTTCAATTACTTTGATATATTATTTTTTATTTTTATATTTGTATGTGGAACATTTTTAATAAAAGTTTTTGCAGTTGACTTATTTTTTTAAAATTTATTTTTAGATTCAATGATTTCTATCAAATGGATATCGAGTTAATTAAATAATTTCAATAAACTTGTTTACTAAATTATTCGAACAAATTCAAATTTTAACGAACAATTAAAAGAACGAGCACGGACATGAATTTTTTCAAATAACAAACGAACGAACACGATGTTCGAACATAATTGAACACGGTCACAAAATCTTTAATTTCTGACTTGTTCATTTTGATTACAACACAACACTAGGAACAAATAAATGTAAAAGGGAAAGAACAAAAAAAGAGAAGAAAATTTTGATTTACAAATATAAGAGATCCAACAACTGGGAAAAAATTGTCTTGACACACCTAACTATTAAATGTTTTTCTGATGCTTATGTTTCAACCAACATTAATTGAGGTTAATTAGGGCATTTTAGTACTTAGCAAAATTTCATTTTTATTTCAAGTATCACTTATTAATGATATGTGTTGATGCGTATATGTTTCGTCAATCGACTTGTTTGCAACTCTAGCCAGGATGCAGATTTCTTATTCTCTTATATTGTGTGTTTTTTGTTTAGCTTTTATTGCTGTGAGATAATTCTCTCTTCTGTTTTCGCCTATAGATTTCAACTTCATGGAGAAGAAACATTATCGACTAGGCCATCATATTGGAACCTTACTCGACTTAGAACCGTTACTCTATAAGTCACGTCGGATCGGTTATTACATAGAGGTGAATATAATTTTTGTGAATACACTTGTTTTGTTAGACTTAAGACTCATTGTTATATTTTGTGGTTAGATAAGACTATGGATAAAACATAAACACTAATAATGGAACTTTACACTTTAAAATTTTATCAATGGACAAGTAGTTTTCTATATCAAATTGGTCCTAATAGATCCCAATCTAACCACCTTAGATTGGGTGTCACACAAGACTCCAAAACACAACTCTGCAAAATTTTGTTCACACTGTACAATTTGTCCTTTTGTACCCATAATTGAGATAAAATACTCTTATTTTTGTATGTTTATCCAACATATATATATATATAACAAATCTAAACTGTAGTGTACAATTTTTAGCTCTCAAAAATCAACATTTATATATGATCGTGCCTGTAGGCCATGCCAGTTGCCAACTGTACAAAATGGATAAATTACTGTAAAATAAATATAAAAATTGGCAGCCAAAACAAACAGATTAATCTGAATTTTGCAGTCTACACAGTATGAGTGTCCCTTAGCCTTATTTTAATTTATACATAATTTCCTATTTTTAATTTTAATACTTTAACCTGAACTGCCACACTTATCTGACCAAGCTGCAAATATGTTTCCCCTTCTTGAATTTTTTAATAGTATTAATTTAAACTCACAAGAAATGCGTCTGAAGAAATTCCACTCTACTCATTTTACCATCTTCTTTGGACTTGCAAAAAATAATATGCTCTACAAAATTAGGCNAAAAAAAAAAAAAAAAGCTGAGTTCCTTCAAGAGTTGAGTGTTCTTAGGGACGAATGTGTATTCGAGCTCGCGCTTGTTTAATAAATGAGTTGACTCGACTCTATTAACGAGTTTAAAATTATAAACGAGATCGTCGCTAGCACCAATTTGTCAGTTCACGAACATGTTTGGTTCGACTTTAAACCTGTAGAAAGTAATAAAAATTAAACGAATTTGGCTCGACTCATTTAATAAACGAGTGAATCAGTTTTTCGAGCTCAACTCGTTCAAAGCTTTTATGAACCGAACCAAATTGTGTTCGAGAACTAGTACTTGTTCAAATAACCACAAAAACACCCCCTTAAAATTTGTATATTTAACAAATACCTCCCATCAAGGACACTACATAGATAAAATAAAACAAATTCCCAAAAATATGTATTAATTTTCAAATACCCACCTCTTTTTCTTAAAAAAAAAACCACATTTTAGTAATTTCTTGAAACTTTTCAACACACACACACCAAGAATCTTTTTTTTACCTTTCTTCTCTTTTTTTCTCTTTCTAAAGATTAGAATAAAAAAAATAAAAAAGAATAGATATATACTCTGCCCAATCACAAACCTCAAAACCCATTTGCCTTCCCACCATGGACGAACCTTCTTCTTCCTCCTCCTTTTCAGCCTCCGCCGTGCTCAGCCGCAGCCCGGCCATAGACCGCCACAATCCCATCATCACCGACTCCCGACGATCCGTCTCATCGCCCACTCACCCACCGCCACGTGTCCCCAACAAGAACAAGAAGAAAAACAGCATTAATGCTACTAATAACAAACAGAAAACCATCACACCAAAGGAAAATACTCCAAAGCCCGAAGATGAAGAATCGAACTTGAAAATCAGTACTGTTTTAAAGAAAAGCACCTGGAATTGGAATTTTACCGGGCCCGGCGGCGGGTTTATAAGCCCACCGGGCTCGACTAGGTACTTGCTGGGCGAAAACGTGTTGTTTGAGAATTTATGGGATTTGGGCCCGGCCCAAAAGGTATTCCCTGATGAGCCCAAGAAGGTGAATGGAAAGTCTGCATCTTTAGCAGATTGCTGCAATGAAAAGGTTTTTATTCAGTCTAAAATAGTTCTTGAATATATGATCATTACTTTTTGTGACAAGTCTTTTGTTTGTGGTTAGTATTTTATTGTTTTGCTTGTGTGTGTGTGTGTGTCTTTTTTTTTTTTTTTTATATTTATNAGTTTTTGGGTTGATTTGTGCAGGTTGTTGTTCTGAGAGTGTCTTTGCATTGCAGAGGGTGTGAGAGGAAAATGAGAAAGCATTTATCAAGAATGGAAGGTTTGTTTATGCAAATAATAATAGCGTATTAGATTTTGATTTTCTTTTCCTCTGTTTTTCAATTACACCAGAAAAAGCTCACAGTTAAATAAACGAGCCAATAATCAAGTTTGATCGGCTTGTTTACAATATTAACAAGTCCAGCTCGAGCATTAACGAGCCGAGAACTATAGAAATCTATATTACAAAAATCTTATTTTCAAGTCATAACGAGGTTTAATGAGTCCAGCCAAGCCCGTCTCTTTAACTAAATGAGCTCGTTTATCAAACTTGCCTAGCCGAACTCGAATTTTCATGACTGTAAGGTCATTCAAAGACGAAACTCCTTTTGAATTTTTATTTGTGAATGAAATTAGAATAAAAATTTCCCCCTTTTTTTTTTCTTTCCATATTTTGGTCTCATCCTTGTAGCTAGATCAAGATTTGGATTGAGATATATCTCAATAATTTGGCTCATTTCATTTAACGGCTCTAATTTGGGCGCATTAATGTGGTCACATATTAAGATCTCAATCTTTGAAGCACGGGCGAATTGTTTTACTATTACTTTTTTTTTTCATAACTAGAACAAAATTTGAATGCATAGTCAACTAGAAACAAATAAATGTTTTCTGCAGGTGTTAAATCATTCGACATTGATTTCATGGCAAAGAAGGTGACCGTGACCGGAAATATAACGCCTTTGGAGGTGCTCTCCAGCATATCGAAGGTGAAAAACGCGCAACTTTGGTCTCCGAGCTTATCATCATTTTCGTCATCATATCGAATATAACGCATTAGGTTCATTTTTTTTTTCTTGGTTGTTGTTGCTCTTGNGCCTAGCATTGATCTTTTAATACGTTAGTTAAGATTAGTTTTAAGAAGATTTTTGGATGTTGTTGTGAAGTACTGTGCAATTGTGAAGTTGGTGTTTTTATATATGATCTTCTTTTATATGGCTAGTGCAAGCTAGTAGTACACATGAGGACTCTATTTGGTTAAATGGATTGGAGTATTAGGTGTGTTCAGGTCGAGCGCACAGAACTGTTAAATTAAATGAGTCATTCGTGAGCTCGGTTCGGCTCGTTGAGCTTGAGCTCATTGAAAGCTCGTTTGATTAACAGCTCGACTTGATAACACCCAAAAAGATAATTTTTATGTGATTTTTATAGTTCGGCTCGTTAAAACTCGATTCTGACTCACTAATATTGATAAATGAGAGCTCGGCTCGTTTACATTCCTACTGGCATGACACGGATTATTCCAAACTATTCTTGTGTTAAGTAGTATCAAAAGTTGAAAAATGCTACATTACCAACATAGTGTACAACTAGGTTGACAACACAAGTGAAAACATCCACTTGTGTATTTTTTTATTTTTTTTTAAATATTTTTACGTGTGTTGTCAACCTAGTTGTATACTAAGTTGGCAATGTACCATTACTCATCAAAGTTTTTCTCCTCAGTCTGACTCAAATGATATGAAAATTGTTATTACTAATTTGTATTTTTATTTTTAATTCAATTCTTTTTCATAAATGTGATGTAACATATATGAACTTGTGTATATGCATAGCTTCAAAAGAAATTAGTGGCCCTATACCGGGTATTAAATTAGGGCACATTTTGTATATTTTATATGGTTGATAAGTTAATTGATAACTTATGGCTTGTGGCTAAATGTTATATGATATAAAGAAAATTATCTATAAAATTAGTTAAAAAGTCAATTGAAAAAAAAAAACAATGGAATTTTTAAAAAACTGGTTTTTTGTTTTTAAACTAGTATAACCAAACTAAATTTAGTTGAATATGAAAAATCTTATAAAGCTAACAAAAGAACTATAATATAATGATACTTAGCAACACACTCTTGACGTGTTAGGGAAGAAATATAATTATCTTGTTATAATGAACTAGTATAGAGCCCGTGCGATGCACGGGATGCACAATTTTAAGGCTATTTATCCAGGCTTATAATTATATACATGAATAAAGAAAAATGTACCGGATATATATCGTACGTGATCCGTGCAAAGCACGAGATATATTTATTTGGAGAATATTATATTATAAGATCCAATATTCAATAAAAGTTTATAATACGCAAGAAAATTGTACAATGTTCAATAAAAGTTTTATAATATTCAAGTGGAGTCTTAAAGTCTCTTGTACATTAAAACTACTGACAAAATAATATTTTAATCAATGAGTTTCCTTTCCTTGTAGCCAAATTGTGAATGTGATTTGAGGAGTACAACAAATCGGTATATAGTTGACTTGCTTTTTTCATTGTAGTTTTTTTTTTTATAATGAAATTTAAAGATATTCTAACATATAGCAAAAATTAATTTTTTTTATTACAATTAGGAATTTTACTAAATATAAACTATCAATCTATGGTGTTAATCAACGTTTAAGTCTAAAAAATTAAGAATTTTTACCTCTTTTAATCAACGTTTAAGTCTAAAAAACAATAGAGTTATTATAAGTTTCTTTTTCTACATCTTCTAAAACATTAAATACGAGCATGTTAGGGCTAGCTTGTAAAATAATTAATATATTATCTCACTAAAACATTTATACTAATAAAAATTTAATTTTAGCATATAAATTTATCCCTTGATATAAGAGAAATGAACAGTTTTACTTATTGTTGTTCACCACATAATATTTAATTATAATTTTATTATATAATAAAAAAGAAATATTATTAAATAGTGTAGTAGAATTGTTATAAACTTATATGATTTTTTTTTTTTACAATATGGATTTAATATTTTTTTTATGATTTGATAATATAAAGAAATCTATACTTAACTTTGACAAATAAAACAAATAAGTACTTTAGTAAGTATTTAATGTATATACTAAATAGGAATATATTTGGTATAATCAAATATCAAATATATTTGGTATATTGTCAGTCAACTTGTGTAATCATCCCCTTCCCCCAATTCTCTCGCCGCCGAAAAACCCTAACTCCCAGGCCTCAATTTTTTGGCAAATCCGCCTTCCTCGGCGGCGGTAATGTGCGGCTAGGGGTTGTCCTCAACTGTCCGCGGCCCCCCTGGCGAAGAGCGCCACTTTTTCTGCTTCGGATTGTCCTTTGACGGGGAGGCGGGTTCATGGTCAAAGATGGAGAGTTGGACGGCGGTGGTGCTAACCGTGGTCAAAGCTAGGTCGGAGATTGATTCCTTCTCTTCAGTCCCCGGAGGAGCTGCGATTTGCTTCGGTAAGCCCTCGTTTTCTTGCTCTTTGTCTGCGAGTGTTGAACTCGGTTTTCGCCGGCGGCACTTCACCTTTTGAGGTGGGGCCGAGCCGTTTGTCTTTGGTTATCTGCGGTGGAGATGTGCTGTGTCCGATTCGCTGGGAGGGGCGGGACCTGGGCTGCCGCGTCGTTCTTTGTCGCGACAGTCGGGGAGAGGGCTGCTCGCTTCTTGCTCAAATCCCCGTCAACTAGTGGTGTTAGGCGACGGGGGAGGTTCCATCGGCCTCGTCTAGTGGTGATAGAAGAGTTCGGTTGGAATCGGAATGGGATGGATGCTGGCCCTCTTGGTTGTCGATCGGTTGACTCGGGGATTGGTTCGGGATTTGGGTTCCGCTGCTGTATAGGCTTAATTGCAGTTTCGGTAGCGGGTGCTTGGTCTGGATTGGTCTTGAGTCAACCGTGCACTTCTAGTCCGGGCTTACTCGTTCGCTGCGGAAGGGCTATTAGATTATTCAGTTTTAGTGTTGTTGTGTTCTTGTTATCTATATATGTGTTTTGGTTTGGATTAGTCTGTCTTGTGTCTGTATTAGGTTTGCTCTGGTCTTATTTTTTAGGTTTGGGTCACTTGGCCCCTGTGCGAGGGATTACTCCGTTGGAGTCGTCCCACATTACCTCGTTGGGGGTCGTTCCACATTACCTCGTTGGGGGTCGTTCCGCATTTAGGTCGTTGGTGTTGTGTTATTGTGTCTTGTGAGTTTTCTTTTCTAGCGTTGCTAGTCGTCTCTAGGCGGTCTTTTAGACCTGTCCTCCCAGTTTTATTCAGCTGTTGGCTGTATCATTCAGCCATGGGCTGTGTACTTTGCACATTTGTGCGTTTTTGTTATATAATATTTTCTATCGTTTCGTAAAAAAAAAATAAAATATCAAATATAATCAAATAAGTCAAAGTGTACTTTTTTATTTGGTATTTGATTTTTTTTATTATAAGATCTTTTTATTATACTTACCCTTTTAAAATAAAACAAATAAATAAATCAAAATAAATAAAATATTATAATACCAAAATAGTAATGACATTTAATGCAATTGACTTTTCTGGATAGTAAATATAGTAAATAGAATCTCCTTTTATATAAGTATAGATTGTATAATATGGAAATAGTAATGCAATAAATATTGTTGACTTTCTTTATACTAAATCTGGTAAATGGTATACCTTTTAATATAAGTATAGATTTAGTTGAAAAAGCGGCAATAGGAATCTTCTTCTCTCCAAGACTTGGGGTGTATTTAATGGTGATTTCTAAAAAAAATTTAAAGACTTTAGAAATCGTATTTAATTTAGACTTTTTAAGATTTTTAAAGTTTTAAGGTGGTGTATTTAATTTAGACTTATAAGGCTTTTAGAAGTTTTAAGGTATTCATTTGAGATTTTAAAAAAATTTAAGAAATCCTGACATATTTAACTTATTTTAGACTATGATTTTTTATAACTTTTAAAGATTTGCTGGGATTTCTAAAGAAAAAAATATATACCAAATCTCACCTCTAGTTTCAAGATTTTACAGAATTCCTCTAAAATTCAAAATTTTTAGAAAATCTCAAATCTCAAAAAGTCTCTGAAATGTCACTCAAAATATCAAACGAATATATCTGTCAAATTATTAATTGATAAGGGGATAATGAAAATATTCCACAAATTAAATTTGATACACGTGAATGTCTATATATAATCTAAAACAAAATGTTATATAATGGTATGCATGACATCATATAAATTTAATTATTACATTCTGATCACTCATATTTTAAAATCTATACTTATATTAAAAGCTATACTATTTACTAAATGTAGTATGTAGAATAGTCAACCTTAATTAATGATTTGCTATTTTTATCAATCATTTAATTAATGCATCTAATATTTTTAGTATGCAAATCAAATTAGCATTTAATTAATTCCTAAAATATTGGATATGCAATATTAATTTAGGAATATCCATGTAGTTCCTAAAATGTTGGTATGCAATACGTAAAAGAAGATTTTTTAATTTTTTTAAATATAAAATATTGCAACACGTAAAACTATTCCAGTTATTTTTTTATTTTATTTTACATATAAAATTTAATCAATATTTAATGTATCCTACAAAATTAGATTTAGTTTAATTCTCCATACAATTGGTTGTAACTTTTTCAGTTGTACATTTATTTATTTATTTATTTTACACTTTTAAATTAATGAAGCTCTCCGAACATTATTAGGTAGTTTCAAACATTATTTGTGAATAATATAGAATATTTTAGATGCTTTTATAGATGTTATAAAATATTTTAAGTATTTTTAATATTTATATATCACACTTAAAAAGAATATTTTGCCAAAAAAAAAAACATTAAATACACATTGTAAATGTTAATAAAAACAGTCTTCAGTATTCATCTTTGATTTTGTCAAAACAAATCTCATAAAATCGATGAAGTCAAAATTTGTACGTAAAGTCTATCTATACTAAAAAAAGGTAGATTCAAAATTCTTTATCTAATTTCTTCTTTTCCTTATGTAATTCCTTCTTATTATTTAATTATATAGAAATCTGTTCTGATTTTGTTCAATCCTCTAATTGTATTTGTATCATATCCCATAAAATCGGTTTAACAAAAAAAATCCATAACATCCGATAAGTAAAAAAAAAAGTACTTAAAATCTTTA